CCAGTCTTTACAAAAGAAAAGGTGTTAGAATGGTCAAACAAAGCTTTATTCCCTCTGCCTTTCTCCCTTTCCTGTTTTTTCTTTTTCTGTTTCCTTGCCACTGTAGTTTTTTCCTCTTAGGAGACATGCTGTCATAAAAATGTATCTCACAGCTAATTCAATACATGTTGTAATCTTGTCTCCCTAATCCAGTCAGTGTGATACTGTTCTGGTCACTGACAAGTCTGTATTCGTTTGATTATCCCCTACCCCCAAGGTGAATGGAGTTCTTTTAATACTACTGATTGGTTGCTGGACTATTCCTACAGTTTTGGAAGAAATACTCAGGTGGTGTGTCTTGTAATGTAGGGTGGCTTTGTAGGCAGCAAGTATGTTGCATCACTGCAACAGGTTAATGCTATTAGCCATTGGTCAAGAAATAAATGTACTTATTTCTTGTAGCAATATTTACCCTAACAAGAAGAGTGGGTGAGATGTGGGCCCTATTCTGCTTTACATGCAGATTACATGATCTTGATGAGCCACCCAAAGATTTTGCCCAAGGTGATACTTACCTGGCAGGGGAAGCACCGTGACCATGTAGGCGGGCTCCCCAGGGCGAGTGATTGTCTCTAATATGTCCTCCATAGGAGGTCTATATTAAGCAGACTTTTTTTGGTGTTGAGTGGTGGAACTGGAGCTTGCTCCATCCACTCCATGCATTAACCTGGTATTACAGTGCTTCTAGGAATGGTGCAAAAAAACAAAACAAAAAAAAAAAGATATCTGAACTCAACCTGAGTTAGCAGAAGAACATAGGGGTATTGCTTCTTAAGCGTTGTTGCTTTTTCATGTAGAAATTTTTGCACTTTGCTTGCCAGTTAAAGGGGACCAAATGTTTTGAAGACTCCATGGTGAACAGTTAAATGCAGAGACTGAACAGGCTATCAGTCTGTATGAAGTTTATGCTATGAAATGTCCAAGCTGGAGCTTCCTTAATGTATAGGCTCTTTCAACCAGAGCCCAGCCACTTTGATAATCTTCTTGTGAAATAAGGTAAACCTGTAACTTAGCTATCTGGATCTTATATCTGTCTCCTATAAAACTCTGATTGTGGAAACATTAAAGGAAGTGTTCCATTTCAGAGAGTTGTCTGTTTCAGTTGTTTTCCCATGAGACTTGGAGGTGTTCCTTGAGGTATGTGTGGTCACTACTGCAGAGTTAATACCAGGGTGAATTAATCAGTAGATAGGTAGAAATAAAACTTTCAGGTCACTGGAATTCTTGGATGTAGTATTTGCACTAATATTTCATGTTCTTTCCCTTTCCCTTGGACTTCTGCACTACAGACCATGTAGTAGACATGAAACTGAGAAGGAGTTCCTTCAGTAGCTAGATGAGGGGGAGTTGGAATGCGTCAAGCAAGTAAGCAAAAAAAAAAAAAAAAAAAA